TTGGTCGGAGCATACGCTGAAATGATGAACAAACAACTTTTGGTGTTGCTTCCCTTCCAGACGCTGATAGACCTCTGGAGCTGCATCGCACATAAGCGGTTGTTGACGGGGATCCAAACGAGTTGTGCGGCTTCGGCTGTATTATTCAGTACAATACCCACACCACGCTGGCTTACTGAACGGGCTTCGTCATCACCTGACGTGCGGAGGAAGAACCTCGAAGACAACCCAAGTGCACTTAAGTGGCATATAGTACTAGGATCCTGAATTCGAGTCTCCGACAAGCAGCAGACATCCATTCCCAAAGAGTCCATTGTACGCGCCAGACATACTTGTTGACCTGCCGGCATCAGAGTCCTCACGTTGAAGGCCCCCAGATTAAGTGGCTGACGAGGCTTCAGAGGGAATGTTACGGGTTGGAAGAAAGAGTAAAGGGAGAGGGTTGGGTACGGAAGACAAAGAGTTAATCAAAGGTTGGGATATCTGAGCAGCAGCCCACTTATCACTACCCACCCCGCTTGATGCAATGGGCAGCGCGGTCCTGATTATCCTGCGCTAAAACCGATGCAGTATGTGATTACTTTTTGGTTGTGTATGCATTTGAGTTCGATGGACGGGTACTGCCAGGGTGTCCAGCCACTAAGCAGGAGAACGATTAGGGTTCTCGTCCAAAGCCTTTAGTTCTGACAAGAACCTGACCGCAAAGCAGCGGGTAAACCGAAGAACAGGCCCATTTACTTGGATCAATTATTCCTCTACCATTCTACCGACTGAGATGCTAACCCGAGTCGAATCCCCAACCTGGAGGACCGGGAGACTGGACCTCGTCTGACCTCTACCCATTGACCTTCCAGGCATGCTTAGATCTGCGGCTTGACAAAAGCCATCCCGTATAGCTCCTTGAGTCAGAGAGGTGCACAAGCAATCACACCACGTCAGGTGCAGTCTCGTCCTGATGGCTGTTGTCACATACCGCATAGGATTGTACGTAATAAACCACAATAGCTACAGTGAAATCATTTATATTTTTGGTGAATGTATGAGCAGGTTTCCCGATTCATTATATTCACGTCGTTGTGAGTTACTATTCTCTGATCCTTTTCAAAACTAAATTTAGTAATCTTTCTCAGATGTTTTAGCTTTCACTCTTGGAATCAAAGCGTCCTCACTAATGATAAATCCCGAAACACAATAATATGAGTAACCACTCAACCGAATCCTGGAGTTCCCCAAGACACTATCGTTTTCCTGATTCAGTCACTCCGAACCCGTTGACATGAATTCACAACCTTGACCAGGAAAGCAAATTCTATAGAATCACCTGCCACCATTTCATCACCACCATCAAATGCTTGAAACAAAACATTTTCACAAATGCTACTTCTTTTTCTCTGGAGATTTATATCAGACCATGTAGATAGTGTGAAACCATATACAATGTAGATGATAGACCATTTGTTTTCAACTTTGGCAATTTTTTTCACTCTCTGGTTCCAAATTCAACAGCGAACACAACAAAAACCGTTAATTCTTGGAGTTAATTTTCTTTATTTGATTCGACGGGTTTTATTAGCAAATTCCGAACACAAACACTCCGCATTTGAGAGCAAAGAATCAAATAAACATGGTTTATTGTAGCACGGGGCATCAGAACAGCACCGCGGGTCGTAGGCATACTACTACGACGCTAAGCCTCATGCGCATTGCTGTAGGTGAGAGCGTAAACGGACACGGTGTTCTGACTTATCTGCAATGGGATACAACAAAGCATATAAATGGACCAAGCTAGAGGCGCAACTGTGTAAAAATAACACCCCGACTGTGGATAAAAATGTGCCATTTGCAACGGACCGCTCCAACTTGAATGACAGAACATGGACCGTGTGGTTGCGATTGATTTAGGGAACACTCTACCCAAAGAGTTATTTTTCAGGTGGGTCGGACGATCCAATGTCCCACAAGGACTACACAATTGATTGTTGGTCCGTTACTTACGCGGTGGGTGCTCAAATATATCAGCGACGACCGACAAAATCATAATTGTCTGTGTTTTGAACAGACTCATTTAGAGGAATAATATACCAATCGATACACAGACGTGCACTAGTCAGTGTTCTGGGCCAGGTTTAATTTGTCCTAGACACCGACAACGGACAGAATAGACAGAAACAAACAATACAGTAAAATCCAACCAAGCACTGAACCGTAGTAGATGGACCTGTGGAACATTAGATCTGCGTGGTTCTTCTCCATCGCAGACGTACGGAGAAAAACAACGAACATATTTTAAACCTGTAGCATTCATGTGTTCAAAGACAAAGCGTGATATTGAATTCCCCGGCGTTTTTCCGAGATTCAGCCTCACGAAACAAATAATCTGTCCAAGAGATTCGTATCCCTTTCACGAACTATTCGGTTTATACTTATTGTCATCACATAAAAAACAAAATACCCTCCGGTATGAGCACAATTGGTGCTGTTGCCGTAGAATCAATAAGTGCATCCAATGATGTTCCACTGCGAATGCCACCAGATAGAGAAATGAAAAATGACAACGGCAGATCGCCTGGATGTGACCGTGTCTTTAAACCATTTCAGAGTACTGTTCCAAAATGATACACGTGGCCACAGCAACGCACACACAAAAATGGGACGAACTTAACGAAACATTAGTAAATCATGGATAGATGAAGACCACCTTTCTTCATTTAGAACTCGGAGAAAGGAGACTGGACAGACTACTCTGACAACGTTGCAGCTAGAACCACAACTCGCAGTCACTAATGGAACAAGTAAAATCAGTCGCATCTATCCACGATAAGCTATACATACATAACGTGTGAAAACACGATTAGTTTTTTCATCATTGCATGACCACCGGTACACAGAACATACGCGAATTACTACAAAACTCACACAGTATGCATTATTTATTCGACGAAATCATAGTTATGTGTAGAGCTGCTCATTTGCACTGCATTTTACACGTCTTAGAGGAGTTGTAGTGGTAAGCAACTTTGCTGTCGTCCAGTTCAATGCCACGCCTAACCTGTCCGGGCCTTATGTGATTCACCACTCTAAGTCCCGGGGCTTCGGTTACCGGTTTCCATCGTTGAACAGCAGGTCCTCGTGACTATGGGGTTTACCCCTTCTGCTGTTCACCACACTTAGCTGTGTAATACAAACAAGTTTGATTCCACTGGATATCACAACACATGTTTCAGCTCTATTCTACTGAGATCTTGTAGTATGGTTTACTGCTCCAAGTCTCATAGTTTAAGTTCATACTTGTGAGTGTGGAGAAATATTCCTTTCACAGCGTGTAAGTAATAGGCAGAGTCATTCGGGTGACAGCCATAACCTACAAGACAGCTTGTTTTGAAGACGGGATTTTATAACGCATCCGCAGTGTAGAAAAAAGCCTAAATTTGTCGTACATATGATAGGCAATGTTGTAAAGACACACTTCCGGATGTCCGGTCGCCATAGTAGATGTCCACCGACGAACTGGGTTGATGGTGGCCAGCTTACAAGCTACAATCCTAAACGCCCATAAATTTCTCACATACACTGTGCTTCTACTACATTGTTATGCTAGAGTGAGTTTCGAATATTTCTATCTAACATTGTATTCGAATATTATATTTATACTATTGTTATACTACCATAGTTATATTACTCCGGGTGTAACAATTAAACTTGCTAAAAAGACGGAATTTTGTTTCAACATTTCAGTAGTGGGGAACAAACTGACGCGGTAGTGTTACGAGCTACCAAACAAGTGCTCGGCTGTTAATGCAGGGAACAATGAAAAGAAGTAGTTATTCACTACCAAACAGTTTATTTGCATGCACAAACCCAGACACATCCATGGTTAGAAGACTACATGTGCGTCATGATGGTCGTCACCCTATCCCTAATAACATTATCAGTTGTTCCTCGGCACATGAACTTCAGTCAACGCGGTGAGTCAAATTCGTCGCTCATTGTTCTGTGCCGAATGAATACACATGAAACAGAGTTGCACTAGTCGGAGAGGACTAGGCAATTTATGGGGTCGAATCAACAGCCGAGAAAGGGGCGCTTGTGCACCAGAATGAAGGATGCAAACTCGGGGGTATTATTCCAATAGACTGCGTGATAGGTGCCCAAGCTCCACTCCACAGACATGCGAAAACACTGCGTGCACACATTGTAGTTTGGACTGGTTAACAAGAGGAACAAGAATTATGCATGTCCCCGGATAAGTGTTTTCCATGTTCTAAATGAACCTGAATAACTTAGCATCAGATAAAGGATAGAACTTAGGATTTCGTATAAGGAACGGAAGGGGGGTCGCGGCCGTTTAGGATCGGTTAATGTTGAATTCAAAACAGACACCAATATTACTGCGGGGATTTTACTTCACCTTTTCTACCGAGCAGAACACGTACAAAAACCAGGCTAAATAAGCATCATGTAAACAAAATGTGCACTTTTAGTTCAAACTTACTTGCAGTAATTGATACAAAAATCCACATATAAATACTCAAATTGTCTTGCATTGTTCAAGAACACACGAGCCAACTGAATCAAATCATTCCGATGCAGATGGAGACTGAGAAGCAAGTGCCTAGAAGGGAAAACAAAGGGGAAAGAAAACGGAAAAGACGATCACACCTGAAGTTGTGACCATAACAAAGGGGTAGTTTGTTGCGAATTTGCACGTGCTATTACAGTCTTCCGGGGGGTAATCCCGTATAACTATTCCACGATTGATCACTGTGTAATCGTACCTGCATATGATTCGCCAACTGAAATATCTTCCCATTCACGGATCATTGTGCTAGAAGGTGAATCACATTAATGATCACTCAAATTTTGAAAATAATGAAAACTATTTACAAAACTTACGTGTTGTAGCTATACCGAACAAAGGCTTACAGCGGTTGAACATAGACGATACCAAAATGATCATGTAATGAAACCAATGGACTGTTTTCCTTCAACATAAAGATCTAGCATACCTATGTGGGCTTCCACTTTCAGTGGGATCAAACTATTAGTTCATAGGTTTTTTCAATCTCCAGTTTTCATGCGAAGCGGCATTGAGATTTTTTGTCATTATGTTGAAGAGTACTGCTCAACAAGTAAAACAAGAACACAGTAATGTGGTAATGAAGGGACACTGGACAAACATCCGTTCCTATCATTTTGGCTAACCAAATGGAACAAATGAAAACTGACAGGTCGTGTCTAATTTATATATGAAATCACGTCGAAATTTGACGATGATAAGGCATGGTATATATATATGCACCTGCTAGTCGATTCACAAGACTGTGATGAAGGTAGCGTCAGACTGAAAAGGCTGCATTCGTTATGATTATCATTAAGAAACATGACGGCGGATAAATCAATCAATTTGTGTTCAGTGACGGATGTGGTCTGTGCTGTGTTTGTATGTGATCTGAATAAAAGACCGTTGAAATGAGAGGTTTCAATTTGACAAACACAACTGTCGCTTGATCGAGCCAGCACTCAATCCAACTCATTCCATGAATGCTGTCGGTCCATGAATGAGGATGTAAGTCATGATCGAGAAATTCTAAAATGTGGAAGGACCGAAATCCCGCCGAAAAATAATAAATCCATCACAAGCCCAATCCGTTCCGTGCGTCTGATTCTTTTAAAATTAATTCAACACGGTACCCCAAGAGGAGAAAAAAAATTTATGTTTGATAAATACGAACAATGTAACTGTTCATCTCTCGTAAGAGTATTCATATTACTATTGATTCTCCTTATCGTTATCTGCAGAGTCAAGCAGTCCCAGTGTGCATATTGCCAAACCCTCTATTCATGTCCGGTAGATGTCATACCTACAACTTGAATTGCGTTCCCACGCACAATTGTCTTCTGCGATCTGTCTGTTCTGTAACAAAAGGTGATACCAAGTTATCACATAACTGATCACAACTACCAATTTGTTATTTAAGCATTATATGGTTTGGTTTCATCCCAGTCGCGGTATACCCCATCGAATTTAGTTCATGGTTCCGACCCTCAACTAGGTATGCAATCGTTTGCACCATCCAATTCTGATGAATCATTGAAATGGTCACCAATTTTAGCGATACCATGTTGACGGAATTACCATGACCGTAAATTAGGTGATTAAAGGGATCACGGGCTACAATAGTTCTATTTGAGCAAGCGAAATTCCAGGGTCATTTGAAATTGACCACAGCTGTTATGTAAACTGGGTCTTGTTGACCCTAAAGTTTTGCGACAAGATGTAATTTCGCGCAGGGCATATAAGGCGTAGCATGTAGCCAGTTTCTAAGAGTTAAATTTATCAGGTTACCTTCAAATCCAAGAGGTCGAAGGGAAGGATGAGTATGGATATCGCCATTTCTCTCCTCACACGTATTCGCATCCTCGATGTACACTTCAGGAACGATGTTTGCAAAATCGAACCATGTGTCCACAACAGAACAGGAAAAACAGGCATACATGGACACGATGACCAGAAACGCAGGTTTTGTCGGTCACGAAACCCAACTAATGGACACGTCAAAAATTGAAGGGATCTGTCCGTGGTGCACCCAATTCGGCGAGCCGCATCGGATACAGAAAGTGCTTTGTGGAGAACAGAGAATAGGGTTCACGCTGTGAATCAAGCCGATCTCACTGGCACACACACAAACGACTGCGGTCCTGATTCAACGTGAAAACCAAACGTTAGCTCTGTGACCAAGACAGCCTGCATAAATATCCCCATGTAGTCTAATAAGGA